TCAATAATGTCTTATTAAATCTTCAGTTGAACACTATACAAGATAATAAACCTTTTGATTGATGTTATTATCGACTACAAATATAACTAATATTATCAACAGTAGGAAACTAATGATACCCTAATGATTAGTAACATCGATGGATTATTAGTGCGAGAAGTGAGGGTGATGACAAGATATGTGATCAACTAGTGTTCCAGGCAACTCTGTGTTAAATTCATTCTTCACTTCTGTTGACTCTTACGATTTCAACAGGTGATTAGGCTACTTCACGGGTTCAAATTCTTCTTCCGAATAAATTTGATTCCTTTAATTAGCATAATAACAAGTCCTACAAACATATGCACTAAAATATTGAATGGACGATCTTTCAAAGAACACCTCTCGGTTATTCTTCTGAACTAGGTTAATCGATAACTCTTAAAGCTCTTTCGATTACCTATAAGAGACGTAAAATCCACCCAAATAAGATGGTACAATGCAAATAGCAGGAAAACTTCTCTTCCGATTAAAGTAAAACTACAATAAACCTTGCAATTCAATTAATAACTCATTCAATAATTTTGGGCAATTAACAAAGAATAACACCCCAAACAATAGTCAATTCACAACATCCGTCAATAACCCAACAAAAAATTACTCCATAACAGAGAAAATAATCATAGCAAGAGTATTATAAGAACAAGAAGACATTACAATTCCCAAATTCAAACAAACATTCGTATTTAGTGAATTGGATCCAATATCTTGCTTTCCCGTTGCTTCCGTCCTTCTTCTCCCTCCAAAGTTGCTCTAACAATCCCAGCTCCCCTCTTTTTAGACGAGCTGGGCTTCATATAGGTTAAGGGAAGTCACCTACAAAATTACCAAATTAGTCTTGGAGATAATTTTTCGGACAGACGTGCGCGGCCGCGCACCTGGGCAGATGACCGCGCATATGGCCGCGTACTTTGGCCAGTTTCTGCTTGTCATGCATGACCAGTGCACGGCCGCAAACCTAGGCAACTTCCTGCTCCCTTATTTGTTCTTCTTTTTGAGTGCGCTAACGTCTTTTGATCCTCGAACACAATCCCAAATTACTCCATAAGTTTTTACTCAGCCTTCAAAGCTCTATACTAGCTCAAATGCTCTCCATAACCTCATTATAGCCCGGAATCGCTCATGCGAAGCATAAAATACACAATTAGTGCCAATTAATACCATTTCAAGCTCAAATATTAGTAAAGTGTAGCGAATTTGATTGCAATTAGTGGCCAAAATATACAATTATAGCCTACCATCAACACCCTACACTTAAACCATTGCTTGTCCCCGAGCAATCCAACTACACTTCACCTAAATACGCCCTTTTTAAACAACACTCAAGACTCATCACACCAAGACTCTTTAAAACAGATTAAGTACAATATTGTGACATCTTAACCTCAAAGTTTGACTCAACAACACCACGAATTATCTATAACTGGCTCAACTTTCTATTACATAGAGGTCAAGAATTACCTTTCCTTCATGAATCAAGTTCCCCTCACACAACAATAGAGAGTAGTTCCACACAATAAAAATTAAGAGCAATCAGGAACTCAAGATAGAAAGAATTCACTCACTCTCAGAAGCAACATTCATATGCCACAAAAGATGAACCATAGGCTTGCCTGTAGTATACTACTCTACTAATTGAGCTCATTCAATCAAGGATCAAGTAGGACTTTTTGCTGGTTGTAATGTAGATTGCGGGACGGGTAGGATACATTTAGATATAAGAGTAACTACACCTCCCTAAGCACTTTAATACTTACACTTTAACATTCAAAACCCCATACTTATGTCAAACCATACTCCACTTTCATATCAACATACATTAACTCCCAAATTATTTAAGCACATTTACATCAAGAGTCACCACTATCAAAGAAAATTTTTCACAACAATACAATATTTTTTTCTTTCTTTTTCAATTCAAGTGGCGCTTACTTTTTCAAAACAATGCACGTTCCTCCTTATTTCAATAGTTCCACTCAAAAGACAAACCAACCACCCCACACTTCATCTTTTATAAAGTTCACAACAATTTCAAGTGCTCACGAAAGGTACAAGGCTCAAATAGATTGTCAATTCAAACAATTGGGTAAGGCTTGTAATGTGGTTGCTAAAGAAAACAGGATTACAGGCTCAAAGGGGTTAACTATGATACATAATAATTAGGTGGGTAATAGAATATAACTGGCTTAACAAAGAAACGCCTAAATCACTTCCAAGACTAAATACAACTACTATTTTGCTTTGTAAACACGCAGGGCAAGTTCTAGACATAAAATACAATGCACAGATTACACAAACTTCACACACACATGGCAAATAATTCACTCAAGATTGGACTCATCAAGATACTCTATTCAAAGCAGCTAACCAAATCTAAGATCATATAATTTAAGGTACTTATACAAGAGTCAAAAACTGAGCCTAAGCGTCACACCTTATGCACTTACTATTCTCAAGACATAACAAAGTCAAGAAATATTTCTTTCATTTCAAACCATAGCACAGGGTTTCCTACTTCTAACAAAAATAAAAACGAACTACACCTGGTTCAAACAAAATCCTTGGAAAAGAACTGCGGCACAAAGAAAATCCAAGGGGGAATTAATACACTAACTACAAAGAAAATCTTTTGTCTTTTTCTTTTGACTTAATTCCCTCAAGAAACCCGTCGAATGATATCCATTGTCGGGAAAAGACGAAAATTTAAAAAAAATTATGGATTTTGTTTTCGAAATTATCGCTGCCTATTGCAGCTAGCAAAGACAAGGCAAACTACAACTACCAAGAGGAAAACTCATATACCTGTACATACAACACACACAGAGCCCCCACCCCACACTTTAAATGGTGGCATGTCCCCATGTCACACAAAGAAAAATGCAAGGTAAAGAAAACTTCCCTGATAGAGTCAATCCGTGTCGGAGACGATGCCGGGGTCTAGATGGCAAGCCCGGCCAAGTGCACGCAGCCATGCCATGATCTTCCTCTCAGATTTGGAATTTTGTGTAGCAAGGGCATCCACTCGAGCTACCAAGTCTGTGACAGAGGTACGCAACCTCGCCATCTCCTGCTCTACGGCGCTCATTCTTATTTCCCATGTGCCACCTGAGGTCCCCCCAACATCCTACTCGTGCGGCAGGGAAACAGCAACATCCTCAGCTTGCACCTCATTTCCATCGTCGGGCGCATCAGACTCATCGCTATCTACCTCAATAGGCCCAGCAAGGTCCTTCCCAATTACTACTTTATCAACCTGAAATTTTTGTTCCTTTTTGTCTTTCCCATCCATGTCCCTTTTTTTCGGTACACGTGCCTCACAGCATAATCGAGTGATTAAGGATGGAAAAAAGAACTCATACCTCAGCACAGGACAGCAAATGAACATCTCGTCATGAACAACCTTAGCCACATCAAAATCATAGCCATTGATAAAGCACCAGATCAGTGCGGCCCAAGGACCATTCACCTCAGTGGTGTTTGAGGAAGGCAACAGGCGGCTATTTATAATGTAGAGCCAGTACTTCCCTTCAAAGGTAAGCGATGCCGAATTAAACTTTCACCCCGGTGTGACCCACACTACCTCCTTATTGGGCACACAAATGGTTCTAAAGAATAGTTACCACAAGGGTGGTTCTCTGCTATACGTGTCATAGTAGTCTTCTGCTTTAGGATCTTCCCCAAATACTGGCAAATGGTAGGCCCTTCGAATGGACACTTTGGAGACGTCCACACTCTTCTTTCGAACTGTGCAGACATGATTGACATGTTCCGGGCAGTTTGCGTAAAACTCCCGAACAACCATTAAGTTAGCCTCTTCAGGTTCATCAAACAATATCCCCAAGCCTTGCCTGACCAATTCATGATACATATTGGGATAGTCATTTTGGAGGGACCCCATATCAAATCCCCTCTCTGGTATGGGCTTCTTGCTAGCCTTATTTTGGAATCGTTCCTGCATTGCCCAGGAGACGTATTTGTTAGTATCATATGGGCGAGCAGTAGCAGAAGCTCGCGTCCGAGACGAGCCAACGTGACCATTTGAGGAGGCACCTGTGGTTTTTCATTTTTTGGATGGCGTCATAATACCTGTAACAAACATCAAATATCAGCTAAAGGCATAGTTGGTGAACCAAGAGAGGCTACTCATACTTCACCATCAAACTTGGTCCCAAAATTACATTCTCAAACTCTTTGTGGCATTTATACGAACACCTTATATGCACAGTTCTTCCGAACCCCTTCACAAATAATTTTAGCCCTAATTAGCCGAAAGATACACCAACGCCACACCTAGTCCCCTATATTGAAATTCAACTTCCACCCCACAAGAAAACAAGTATAACATAAATAAAACACCAATAAAAATCTTCTACAACATAAGAAAAAGAAAAGAAAATAAACTAAGGAAAGAGGGAGAAAGCATCTCACTTACCGGAGGGGAAACTTGTGAGAATGTGGGGAGGGGAGAAGAGGAAAGATGGCACTGTCAATTATTGGTAGTATTATATGCTTAAGAGAAGATATGAGAGAAGGGGGTTGGGTTAGGTTTGTTTAGAAGGCAAGATAAATGAGGGATTTTGGAATTGGGGGTATTTAGAAGGGGGGTCCGAAAAGAGAAAAAAAAGAAAAAAAAATGACTCACTTGTGCGCGGTCGGGTTGCCTCTTGCACAGCCGCGCAGGTGAGGCGAAAGAGGGCAGAAAATGCGCTACCATATGCACGGTCAGTGCGCGGCCGCGCACGTGAGGCAGTGGAGGTCTGAAAATACGCGGCCATATGCGCGGTCAGTGCGCGGCCATGCACGTTTTGTATTTTTGTTTTTTGCAGAACTTCGTACCTTTCACGATATGTGCCTTCCTGTACCTACTACATCACAGTATACACTAATTTCTATCTATTTTATGTTATGAACAAAAGTGAGGCAAAAAACAAGTCTACTTGCATAAGGGTTAGAGGTAGTTCTCAGTTATAGTCGTCACCTTGACTCAACCGGGCATCCTCAATTGATTTTGATGCTCGAGGATTGCTGTGCAAATCCCCCAACAAGATACGGTTTTAGTCTGTGCACACTTACTTTGAAACTTTCTATTTCGTCTTGGTTCTGGATCTCAATTGTCCCATATGGTGATACATGTTTCACCACATATGGTCCCGTCTATCTGGACTTGAATTTTCCGAAAAATAATCTGAGTCTACTATTGTACAGTAAGACTATGTCCCCTTCATGAAACTCCTTTGGCTTAATCAGACTATCATGCCACCTTTTAGTCTTTTCCTTGAAAATTCGCGCACTTTCATATGCGTCCAGTCTGAACTCTTCCAATTCATTCATCTGTTCCAACCTGTGATCACCTGCAAGACTAAGATCAAGATTAAGCATCTAATTGCCCAATAAGCCTTATGTTATATCTCAACAGGTAGGTGACAAGACTTTCCATACACTAATTTGAATGGTGAAGTCCCTATGGTCGTTTTGAACGCAGTTCTATACACCCATTGAGCTTCATCCAACTTGACAGACCAATCTTTACGAGAAGCACTAATCATCTTTTCAAGAATTCAATTTAGTTCCCGGTTGGCCGCTTCGACTTGCCCACTAGTTTGGGCATAGTACGAGGTTCCTATTTTGTGTGTGAACCCATACTTGGACAACAGTGCAGCAAACTGCTTATTCACAAAGTGTGACCCATTGTCACTGATAATCGCTCGAGGTGTCCCAAAATGGGTAAAGATGTTTTTCCGCAAAAACTCACACACCACACGAGCATCATTGGTTCTAGTAGGAATTGCTTCGACCCATTTAGAGACGTAGTCAATGGCTACTAGGATATACTCATGAGAATGAGACATTGGGAACTGACCCATAAAGTCAATGCCCCAAACATCAAAAATTCCACATACCAGAATGGAGTTGAGAGGCACTTCATCCCTCTTGCTAATATTACCTGCTCTCTGACACTTGTCACATGCAGCTACATATGCCCTTGCATATTTGTATAGAGTAGGCCAAAAGAAACCGGCTTCCATGACCTTTGTTGCAGTGCGATTTCCACCATAGTGTTCTCCAGCTGCTCCATCATGGAAATGAGACAGAATGCTTATCATTTCCTCTTCAGGTACACATCTTCGATCACACCATCTGCACACAGTTTAAACAACAAACGGTCATCCCAAAAATAACTTTTTACCTCACCTTGAAGCTTCCGTCTTTTATCACGAGTGAGGTCACGGGGTAACCATCCTCTAGCCAAAAAGTTGGCTACATCCGCATACCAAGGCGGCCTTTCAGAGACCGTAGCTACAGAGAAAATCTGCTCATCAGGGAACTCTTCCCTTATTTCGACTGTTTAAACCGGATGTTTCTCAAGTCGATATAGATGATCTGCGACATAATTTCCTGTGCCCTTCCTGTATTTTATCTCCAAGTCAAACTCTTGGAGCAACAACACCCACCGCATCAGACGCGGCTTAGATTCCCTCTTACTCAACAGGTATTTCAACGTTGAGTGATCAGTGTGTAAAATCACCTTACTTCCCACAAGGTATGATCTAAACTTTTCAAAAGCAAAGACCACAGCAAAAAAACTCCTTCTCAGTAGTGGCATTATTGACTTGAGCATCATTCAATATCCTGTTTGCATAGTATATGGGCCTAAACATTTTATCTCTTCGTTGCCCCAGAACTGCTCCCACAACTACATCACTTGCATCACACATTATCTCAAAAGGCTGGCTCCAATTATGTGTCACCATAATAGGAGCACTCACAAGCTTTTCCTTTATCAATTCGAATGCTCTTAAGCACTCCACATTGAAAAACAACTTGGCATCTTTCACTAGCAATGTTGTCAATGGCTTGGTAATGCTGGAAAAGTTTTTGATGAACCGCTTATAAAACCCAACATGTCCCAAGAAACTTCTTATGCTCTTCACCGAATTTGGGGGAGGGACCCTAGCAATAACCTCGACCTTAGCTCTATCGACTTCAATTCCATGAGCAGTTACTTTGTGTTCCAAGACAATTCCCTCTTTCACCATGAAGTGACACTTCTCCCAGTTAAGAACCAAGTGAGTGGCTTCACAACGTTCAACAAGAAATCCTCAAAGTCATCACCAAAAAGGGTGAAATCATCCATGAACACCTCTAGACACTTTTCGTTTAAATCGGAGAATATAGACATCTTGCACCTCTAAAAAGTGGCAGGTGCATTACACAGCCCAAACGGCATCCTCCTGTTTGCTTTGGGTTCTTTTCAGTGTCGGAGGGAAGAGTCCCAAGAGCCCTCTCAGACAATAAATTTGTAATCCGTCCCGTTTGTCTTTCTAAATTTTGGATAGTCGTGCCCAGAGTCTCAAATTTTTCATATGTTTTGTTGATGAATGCCTTCATGAGATCTTCCGTATTTGATTAATTTGGCTCTAGTGGCTGGTATTGCTGCCTCTGCTGGTTCTGAAAACCTGGTGGTCCCTGACCCTGGGGTCTGAGATTATTTTGTTGCCATGAGTTCAAGCTCCCATTAGGTGAACTCCACAAAAAACCAGGATGTCTTTGACCCATAGCATTAAAGTTGTTCCCACCTTGGTAGTTTCCTCTATAAAAGTTCCCCACAGTGTTGACCTCCTCAGTTGTAGCTTGACACTCATGTGTAGGGTGTCCCAACCCACAGATGTCACAACCCACCTACCTGTGGTTGATTTTGCACCTGAGCCATAGTCAATTGCTTGATGTCCTTAGCCATATCTGTAATTTGGGCATGCATTGTTATAGACGATTCTACTTGGTGCATCCCTGCTGATTTTCTCCGATCCCCTTGATATGTGGACCATTGATCTGCATCTTTAGATCGTTCATTCAAAAGAGTCACAATCACTTCCGGAGTTTTCTTTATCAGAGGACTTGCAACTTTACTATTAAGCAATCTCCTTGATGACGGGTTTAACCCATCCCAAAAGTCCTGAAGTCGCATCCATTGCTCCATTCCGTTGTGAGGTCACCTCCGCAATAGCTCCTTAAATCTTTCCCATGACTCAAACACTCTCTCATTCACCTTGGTTGAAATTGTGAATCTCCTTCCTCATCCTTCCAGTCTTAGCAGCCGAGAAGTATTTTTCCAGAAACTTGGTAGTCATCTCCTCTCACATAAGAATTAACCCCGTGGGCAGACTTCTCAACCACTGCGTTGCATCATCCTTCAGTGAGAACGGGAATGCTTTGAGGTATATAGCATCATGTGATGCTCCATTGTAGCGGAATGCGTTCATAATTTCATCAAAGTCCATCAGATGGTTGTTGGGATCTTCATTGGGGTTGCCTCTGAAAATGCAATTGTTCTGAATGGTCTGGATGACTCCCTGTTTGAGTTCAAAATTATTGGCATCGAGGGGTGGGGGCCTCACACTAGACTGTTATTGGTTATTCACCGGTCTAGCATAATCTCCCAGTGATCTCCTAAGCATCCTCGATAATTTGGTTGGGATTGAGTCTTCGATCCCCATCAACCATTTCATTCGCAATTCTGCGGGCTGCTTCAGTCGCTAACCAAGTTTCCTGTTGCTGAGCCGCCTCTCTAGAAACTAGGTCTACTATCTCTTTTTTGTTCACCATTGTATACTGAGTTGAAGGCTGACCCAACAACAATCCACTCGATCATTTCTCTCTTTTCAACTGCCTCAGGTATTTGTCTAACTCTGGGTCGTATGGCACCAAGTCCTTTATAGAGGTTCGCGTCATACACCACTAAACTTAACATGTTGCCTGCACATAGATGAGAAGAGCTTAAAAAAGAAAAATAAAATAAAGTTGTTCCTGAATTAGCACTGAAAATTAATTTAAACAATATTAATCGCCAATCCTCGGCTATGGCACCAAATTTTAACGAGCGCAAAAACCGGTGTATAAAACATAGGCTCGCTAGTCAAAGATAGTATAGTATTAAATCGTCTACACATGGATTGGTTTCAATATTGTCTTATTAAATCTTCAGCTCAACACTATCCAGGATAATCNATAATGTCTTATTAAATCTTCAGTTGAACACTATACAAGATAATAAACCTTTTGATTGATGTTATTATCGACTACAAATATAACTAATATTATCAACAGTAGGAAACTAATGATACCCTAATGATTAGTAACATCGATGGATTATTAGTGCGAGAAGTGAGGGTGATGACAAGATATGTGATCAACTAGTGTTCCAGGCAACTCTGTGTTAAATTCATTCTTCACTTCTGTTGACTCTTACGATTTCAACAGGTGATTAGGCTACTTCACGGGTTCAAATTCTTCTTCCGAATAAATTTGATTCCTTTAATTAGCATAATAACAAGTCCTACAAACATATGCACTAAAATATTGAATGGACGATCTTTCAAAGAACACCTCTCGGTTATTCTTCTGAACTGGGTTAATCAATAACTCTTAAAGCTCTTTCGATTACCTATAAGAGACGTAAAATCCACCCAAATAAGATGGTACAATGCAAATAGCAGGAAAACTTCTCTTCCGATTAAAGTAAAACTACAATAAACCTTGCAATTCAATTAATACTCATTCAATAATTTTGGGCAATTAACAAAGAATAACACCCCAAACAATAGTCAATTCACAACATCCGTCAATAACCCTACAAAAATTACTCCATAACAGAGAAAATATTCATAGCAAAAGTATTATAAGAACAAGAAGACATTACAATTCCCAAATTCAAACAAACTTTCGTATTTAGTGAATTGGATCCAATATCTTGCTTTCCCGTTGCTTCCGTCCTTCTTCTCCCTCCAAAGTTGCTCTAACAATCCCAGCTCCCCTCTTTTTAGACGAGCTGGGCTTCATATAGGTTAAGGGAAGTTGCCTACAAAATTACCAAATTAGGCTTGGAAATAATTTTCCGGACAGACGTGCGCGGCCGCGCACCTGGGCAGATGACCGCGCATATGGCCGTGTACTTTGGCCAGTTTCTGCTTGTCATGCGCGACCAGTGCGCGGCTGCGCACCTAGGCAATTTCCTGCTCCCTTCTTCGTTCTTCTTTTTGAGTTTGCTAACGTCCTTTGATCCTCGAACACAATCCCAAATTACTCCATAAGTTTTTACTCAGCCTTCAAAGCTCCATACTAGCTCAAATACGCTCCATAACCTCATTGTAGCCCTGAATCGCTCCTGTGAAGCATAAAATACACAATCAGTGCCAATTAATACCATTTAAAGCTCAAACATTAGTAAAGTGCAACGAATTTGAGTGCAATTAGTGGCCAAAATATAAAATTATAGCCTACCATCAGGTATCAATCGAAAATCAGGGTCAAAGATGATCAGCTTGGAGCCCCTTCCATGTATCCCGTCAGAACCTTATTAAACAAGGATCGGTATCAGCCGTACAATGGAGATCGAAGAAGCAGTGGGTATGGACGGAACCCTATGAGAAATTAAAAGAGAAATGACTGAGGTCAAAATAACCGGGGACTCATGAGAAAAATAGCTTCAACAGGCCCATCGGGCCTAAAGAAGCACCAAGATTATCAGAGTATAACTTCAACGTCGATGCCGCCGCTATCGTATCTGCCATCGGAAGCATCAAAGATACCAAATGGCCTCGACCTCTTCAGTCTGATCTAGACCAAAGGGATCCTAACCTAATGTGCAAATATCACGGCACTCATGGCCACATAACAGAAGACTGCCACCAATTAAGAAAGAAGGTGGCCCGGTTGTTCAACAACTTACATCTCAGAGAGTTTCTGAGTAATCGGTCCAAGAACCACTTGAGGAACAGGGATTCTAATAAACAGACTCGGGATTACATACCCCAGGGGGCGATGCTGAAGCGCACCAAAGTATCCATCACAAGGGAAAAACGGACTCGGGATTACATACCGGAAGGAACCTTGTCTTTCAACAACGAAGGGACTCGTGCAGCCCCACAATGATTCACTGGTAATATCGGTACTCATAAATAAATCTCAAGTTAAGCGTGTGTTAATTAATCCAGGTAGCTCAGCCAACATCATCAGATCGAGGGTCATGGAACAACTCGGCCTACAAGATCATATCGTACCTGCGGTCCGAGTTCTGAACGGGTTCAACATGGCATGTGAGACCACTAAAGGGGAGATAACATTACCGGTGAACGTCGCCAGAATAATTCAGGAAGCTAAGTTCTATGTAATCGAAGGAGATATGAGATATAACGCTTTGTTTGGGAGGCCATGGATTCACAACATGATAGCAATACCCTCAACACTGCACCGGGTGCTAAAATTCCCAACACCCAGAGGAATCAAAATAGTTTACGGGGAACAATCGGTGCCAAGGAAATATTCGTGGTCGATGAGATAATCCCGACATCTACACTCTCGATAACGAAGGGTCCGAATCCGATGGCAAAGATGAGGACAAATAGCAATTACCGATACCAGCCTCGACAGAACCAGAGAAACAAGGGGTAGATGAGGACGATGACTAAAGAGTTCCCAGATATTTCATAGCCCCCGACGATTCCGACACTACCAAATCAACGGTCGAGGAACTGGAGCAAGTCATATTAATCGAACACTTTCCCGATCGAAAGGTATACTTGGGCACGGGGTTAAGCCCCGAGCTCAAGAAAACACTCATTCGATTTCTTATAGCTAACAAAGATTGTTTCGCTTGGTCCCACCTTGATGACAGGGATCCTGCCAGAAATAATCACTCACTAGCTAAGCCTGGACTCGAAGTTTCACCCGATCAAGCAGAAGAGGAGACCTCAGTCCGAGGTCAAACATGCTTTCATCAAGGATGAGGTATCTAAACTCCTTAAAATAGGTTCATTCGGGATTTTAAATACCCGGATTGGTTAGAAAACATAGTGGTAGCCCCTAAAAAGGGAATAAATTAAGAATATGTGTAGACTATAAAGACTTGAATAAGGCATGTCCCAAGGACTCCTTCCCTCTGCCCAACATCGATCGCATGATCGATCCAATGGCCGTCCACGAGATCCTCAGTTTTCGCGATGCCTATTCCGGGCACAACCAAATACGGATGAACTTGGGC